GCATCTTCCACCATATTGGAGATGAAAGAATAATGTTTAGCGAGATAAAATAATTTAGTAGGTAACATGGATAGAATATTCAATCCATGTTGCTCAGGATCAGCTGATCTTGGTGCCCACCCTATGTCCACTCTTGTCAATTCTCCTCCGTCTAATGAGAAAACTTGAGTCACTTTCTAAAAGCAAGTTGCAAGCACAGCTGAAGCTCAAAACACTTGTGATAGGATAATGCTACACACTTATGTATGATCACCAGGAATGATAGCCCTCTCCCCTTTACTACTTAATGACTAGAAGAATTGAGAGGGATATTTTCCCTTACACATTACAGAAAATTTTATATTCTGATTAATAAGACCTATAATATAAGCACACAATAGAAAAAGTAAAGAATAATATTTGTTTTTATTTTAAAGAACAAAGGTATAGTTTAATGCAATTAATTGTGTAAACAACTCTGCAAATGTCAATAATAGTATTGTCTTGCACAGAATTAACCTAGTTCAAAAATGTTTAATTTGAGGAATATTCTCCTTGAGAGAGAACTCATACCTAACAAAAACCCCATCACCTGAATTCTGAAAAATGGCTAGTAGGTTACATGTTTCTTAGATTTCAATGTAACTTTGTTACATTAAATATAAATTCGATTATCTTTTTAAGAAATTTAAAAAAGGAATCTCTATGAGAGACATTGATAAAAGTTTGATGCATTCAATATTTCCTATATAACTCATGCTAAGTCAATCACATTTTGCTCAATTCAGTCCATTGACTCTCAGTTTGGAATTTCTAAATGGATATAATTAACTACAATTATTATGAAAACATCCTCATATTGAAGAATAAAAAAATTACCAAACTCTCTACTACTTAGAAATCATGGTAGTTATTCATCTTTCATATTATAAGTACTTTACTTTTGTATATATGAAATAAGTTTTCTAATTATTCAAATACAAGTTACCTTTCAAATTACAATGACATAAAACTTGATACTTTTAATTTTGTATTTCAATAAATATTTTCCAATATCTTAAATTCTGAGGTTTTTCTCTACTATAAAACAATAAAAGTGTAGTCAGGAGACTTTATGTTCTTATTTATTGAACTTATTTAATACTATACCTTTTCAACTATGTTATTAATCAAACAAGTGTAGATGTCTACCACTATACTGCTCATGCTCTTTCCAAAAGCACTGCTTTCCTATCAACTTCTCATCTGTCTTACTATTTTCTAAAATATTTTATCATCTATTTCCTAACCTTTCTGAACTTTTCTAGTTTTTGCCACTGGCTCTTTTATACAACACCTCTTCCATTTAGTGTCTATTGACATTTTCCTTAGATCTTTCTCAGCCACTTTTATTAGTTTCTCTTCTAGGTAGCTCTTAAAAATCTCAATATTCTTTTTTAAATTCATTTTTATTTTTTTAGGTACTAGGGATTAATTCCAGGGCTTGGTGCATGTTGTACAAGGACTCTGCCACTGAGCTAGATCCCTAGGCCCTAAAATATCAATATTATTTGTGAAGTGTTCTGGCTTCCCAAAATTTTCCCAGTATCCACTTCTCAGTATTTTCTTCTTTTAATGAACTCCTCACTCCCATGACTTGAATTACCATGTACTTATTGAGTCCCAAGTTTACACCTTTGGCATAATTCTTCCTCTTACTCATTTACTAATATTCCCATTAAAGATAATCATCTGAATAGGTCATTCATTGCTACCTCACGTTCAATATATTTTATTAAAATTATATTTGTCTTCCCAACTGTTAGTCAGACTTGCATATCTGTGACCAAAATATTTGATAAGACCAACTTGGTGAAGGGAAAGTTTATTTTGACTCAAAGTATCAGGGGTTCAGTCCATGGTTGGTTGAATCCATTGCTCTGGGCCCAAAATAAGGTAGGACTTTATAGTAAAAGGAGATGAAAGAGGAGCAAAACTCCCTTTGTGGTGGTCAGGAAAGGGTCACAGAGAAGATGAATGCTTCCAGGGCACACCTCCAGTGACCCACTAACTCCAGCCACACTCTAACCATCCAAAGTTACCACCTAGTCTCACAATCCAATCATTTCTAGTCTCACAATCCAATCATTTCTCCTCCAAATATTCCTGCATTAATACAGGAGCATTTGGGGGACATCTTATATCCAAACCATACTGCCAACCCTAATAAATTTGCCCTTCCTCCTTTCATAGCCTTTTCTACCTCTACAGGCATAATGGAGACCTTGATGGCATTTTTTTCTACTCTCCTTGGAGGGTACAGTAAGAACTAGCTTAGATTTAGCGTACGTTCCCTGTAACCAACATATTATTGATCTTCTACTCAGAGTTTCCAATGGCTTTCATCTACTTGTAAATAAAATTTCCACGTCTTTTCCATAGTTTTCTTTCAATCTAGTCCCAATTCAGCTCATGGGTGTTAAATCTTTTCATTCTTACCAAACTTCCTGCACATGAACTGTGATAGCCACTGCTTTCAAGATGTAGTAATGCTGTCATCTTTTTAAAAATTTTTATTTTCTCTCTTCCCTCTGCCTTCCACTCTTACCTTGGTAAAAATTCAACTAATCCTTCCATGAGCAAGATCAAATATTAAATCTTCTTTGTAAACTTTCATATCTCATGTATCCACTACATAACTTATCTAGTCTGATAATGTTCCATTCATGAGTATGGTATGCCATGTTGCAGTTGCATAGTCACACTGGTGTTTAAGTTTCTCACTGGCAGACATCCTATCCCAGCTGTTCATCCAGTGTGACCTCCAATTCAATAATCTCACCATTAATGTGGTTCCCTATGAACTTCTATACTAAGGTCAAGCTAACATCACTGGAATAGGCATCCTGAACTATCTCCCCTTTCTCTACCAGTTCCCTTCCTGCCTTACTTTTCTTTTGTTTACATTAAATGTCTTCATTTTCATCAAATGATAAACATATGATTCTGTCACCTCTATGTCTTCATTTATAATGTATTTCTTTCCTTTAAGTACTTTCTAGTTATCCCAAGTACTTTCAACTCCTTTATAGATACAGTGATGTCTCCTTTCCCACTGGGGGAAAAAAATGAAGTGGTCATTATTTTGCTCTTCATTTTATTCCACCATGTTTCCGCATCAAACCAAGGATCCCCATTATAGAGGCAGCATTATTATCCTCATCATACTAGCTTAGAGTTTTCACATAAGGGTTACAAAATTAGTCTCCCACAACAACTTATTTGATCTTCACAACACTGGGGAGATAGAGTTGAAAGAAGGTTTTAACACATTTATATGCAGTTGAGAAAACCAAGGGTCAAAAGTTAAGTGAACTGCCAACACTCCTATAGCTATTGGAAGCTGGAACTGGCACTCAAATCAAGGTCTCCATCTCCTTGCTCCTGAGAGCTTTCCACTATTTTAAGCTGTTTATTGGCTTGTGTTCCCACCATGACATTTATGTTGACATATATTGGCAACTCAGACGCTGTACAGTGAATGTTGTCTAGGCTCTCTTCAATCTGAATTACTGCTTGGCTTTTGTAACTTTGATGGTACAAATTTCAACTAGGCAGGTACAGCTTTGTCCAACACTTATTTACCTTAGAAGCTCTTACCAATCTTCCAGATAATACCACTTAGTGGTAAATTATAGTATGATTAGTGTTTCTTATTGAAAATGAGATTTTGAAAAGTAAAGCCATGGCTTTAGCAACAAAATAGCTTCAACTCTTCATTTTAAATGCAAATACATTAATTTGATTTCTTTTGCATGCATTAATCAATCAATCTTTAAAGTGTTAGCAAGAATCATTTTGCTTTTTCAAATATGTGCGGGTAGCTTTAAATATTTCATGGCAAATTCTGTGCTTTAGCTTTAAATAAATTTCTGATTAATATAAGTTGCTGGATAGATATAACTTCTTTGAAAATCCAAGGTATTAGTGCAATTGATCTGTTTCTTCAGCAGGGCAGCAGAGATGGGCTGAAGCCAGGAAATAGAGGACTCTTTAACTTGTTTGCAACCCCAAGATGAATACAGACTTCCCCCTTTCTACCACATCCCTGTTGATGTTTAGGGATTGCTTTGGAACTCTTAAAACATCTCCAGCTCTAAGCAACAGAAATAATCCTTCACCTCTTGCTTTTTTTCTATGAACACTGGAAGTCTCAGGTTGGCTAAAGAACTCTCAGTGTCCTTTAATGGACAGTGAAAGCAAGCCCGCAGGAGAGGGGGTGGTCATTCCTCACTTGGTATTGTTTTCCTGCTTGTCACCGCTTGCTTCACTGTGACTTTCAAACACCTCTCAGGGAAGTACTGAGAGGCAGTTAGCTATTGCTTTTGTTGGTTGTTTGAGAAACAAAGCAAAAGAATTCTCAAGGAAGGAAAAGTTTATAAACAAACATCCTAATAATTATAGACTTTAAAAGTCACGTCACTCATTACAAATTGAACTATGCACAATCTTCCTGGTGAGTGCCTTGGAGTACCCTTTGCTTTAGACTGTCAGAATTGCCCTCACTTGTCTTGTTTCGAAGTGTCCCACATATCACAAAGCTATACTTAACAAAATCAACTCTATATTCATACATATTGCTGCACTAACCATCCTGTTTGCCCAGAGACAGAATATAGACTGGGGCTAAACTGCTTGTTCTTTGCCAGAAATGTATGTTAGGAACTCCTAATAGAACGAGAATCCAGAGGTTAAAAATATTGCACTTCATCATGAAAGTGCGGCGTTGTCCTCATTAACTGCAGAACTGCGAGAGAAATATCATTCCAATGACTCACTGTTGCCTCTTTAGTTGTTATGTTTTTCTTTCCTAAGAGCATCGGACATGACCTAATTTGCTTGCAGGATTCATACTTTTTATCTTACAATCCCAGCACAATCCGGCCATCTAGAAGCACCAAGGTCCCTTCCGGAGCCCAGCAGCTCCCTATCGTGGACCCAGATGTGAAGATGGAAGGAAGGGACAACTCCATGCCACTTACCAGTCTTCCACAGATAGAGGGTGGGTGCCTCCGCCTCTCTCTGCACCGCAGCCCCGCGGGCGCCCGGGCACAGCAACAGCAGGAGCAGTGGCAGCGGCAGCAGCTGCAGGACGCCCCGGCGTGGCCTCGCAGCGCCCCGGCTCCTGGACACCGAGCGCTTCCTTTGCAGCCCCATGCTGCCCGCAGCCGCTCCAGGGTCCGGATTCGCAGTACGTTGGTTCAGCAGGGAATTTTTCTTTCCTTTCGGAACGTCTTCCCAAGGAGTACAGAAAGCAAAGCTCTTTCCTCCTATTGTTCGTTTCAGATGAAAAGGAGGGAAAGAGCATCTAACACCAGGGAACAATAGCGTCCGTGGTGGCCGTGGACACAGCCGCCGCCGCCGCCGCTGGCGGGGATGCTGCGGTCGCTGCCATTCCGCGCAGAGTGGCAGGTCCGTGCAGCGAAGGAAGCAGCCGTCCGCAGGGGGCCCCAGCTGACTGAGCAGGTCCGCGAGGTCTGGGAGGCAGCGCAGCCCCCGCCGCCAGCTGGAGAGAGAGGAGGGGGGCGTGAGCCGAAAGGAGTGAGAGGGGGCTGGAGGCAGGGGGAGGTGAGAGCGCGAGGGCGAGAAGGGGAGCCAGGAAGGCAAGAGCCGGCCGCCAGGCAGCACCCAGCCAGGGCATATCCGCCCAGAGAACTCCTGTGCACATGGTGCGGCGAAATAGGTTTGTAAGGGTACACCAATAAAAAGGATCATCACCCGGCAGGCTTCAGAATGATGAATAACTGCCATTGAAATTCATCGTCACCCAAGGAGTCAAAGGGTAGATCTAGTGGCGTGTTATTCTTGGTGCATATTTGCACAAAGCATCGGTGTTGATAATGTATATTTAAGCTGTGGCTTCTGAATTACTTTATGTGAGAAACACTATGATCAGATATAGAAAACACAACTACTACTTGCTGCCAACATGCACTTAAACTCTTTCTTCATTGTTGTTTAACTTAAAGTAAGCCATTCTCTTTTTAAAACTGAATTCATACTTAAGAAGCATGTACAATGCTAAGTAATGACATCAATAAAATTTCACGAAAACTAATCATAAAATTATATTTCGGGTATGAAACAAAGTACTCTCTCTGTTAAAAAATACACTACTTCTAAGTATCCAGAGAGTTGTGAATAGAAACAATAGGGCAAATTAAGTCAGTAACATTGTTTGAATAGCTCCTAATTAGTGAACTCTTTTCTTAAAATTGTGACAGAAATTTCTCTTAATACTTAGTGTAGAAAACCCTCTTTCATTATCTAAGTTAGGAACCACATGGTTTTGTGTCTTTTGTTCTTTGTTGTTTTCACCTTCTTATATCATGTATCAATAGAAGAATGGGTGAAGTAAAATTATGCTTTTTACTTTCTCCCTTTCCCACAGTAATAATTGTTTATTATTAATTTATTTCCTAGTAAACCTAAAATCAAGACACTTAGTCAATAAAAAAAAAATGTATCAGCAAGCATAAAGCCAAAGAAAACTCTTCTCATCTGGTTAGAAATTTTCTGCCAAATAAAATTAAAATTTTAAAGCAGGAAAACAACTTAGAGTAAATTTTATGAATTTACTCCAAGACAGAGCAACCCAGGGTTTTAAAAGGAGGAAGCTACTGTTTCTGAAAGAGGAAACCTTCCATAAGGCTCCCTGGGGACACTTGTCATTTTGTGGTGCTTTCCAGACACAGCCCTCTGCATGCATTAGATTAAAAGCAGGTTTGATCAAATAATTCCCAGGTCCTGCCTGTTTAAGTATTCTGACATCAGAGGAAATTAGCTTCGTAGAAGGTTGCAAATTTGGTCTTTGTTTACTTTTCACTCTGTTAGGCCTCTAAGAGGGAATTAAAAGCTCAGAGAGCCCTAGCTCTGTGTCTGTGATTAGGAGAGATAAACTAGTGTGGATTACTATTTCTTCACTGGCAAAAAACAGGCAACAATCAAAAGATTATAGGTTGATAAAGAATACAAAGGAAGCCTGATCTTACCTAATGTACAGCTCCCAGAAGGAGTACTTCTTTCAACAGTAACACCACAGAGGAAAGTGAGACTGCTATTGCTTCCTGGGTTCTGCCCTGGTCAGGAAAACTCTGTACAAAACCACTCCACAAGAAGCATTGTCCTACCATGTCTGTTTATATTTCTCAGCTATTGTTCATGTCCAGAGAATCCTCTAACTCTGACATAGGGAGAATGCACATTGGAGGTACTCTGTTAATAATAGCTATTCTAAGTTTTCTTGGGAAGCCCAAACCTATTCACCATATGGAAATTCATTATATAACACAGATAGGACAGGGAACATGAGGAGTCAAGTTAGCATATTTTCATGTGCAAGACAGTCATCCAGCCCTTCACAAAGCCATCAGATGCCATAATCAATAGCTCAATGTCAAAAGAAAATTCAAGATTCTGATCTTTCTATTTATCCATCTCTATAATAATGACTCAATTTGTTAAGAGTTTAAAAATTACACCTACAAATTAAAGTACTGTATAAGACCCAAGGTCAGCTTTTTAAATCAACATTTCTTGCCATTTAAATTATACAATTAGGATGACATGTTCTACAGTAGTGTTTGAAAATAGCCAAAAATTGGATTCCTTAATTTAAACTTAATACAAAGATTAGGGAACATATACTAAAAGAAAAAAAAAAAAAACACTTATTAGCAGTGAAGACACCCTGAATAATGTTACAGAAACTAAGTCATACACACATTTGTCTTCACCACTGCCACATATCTGTTCATAACAATGTCATTACTGCACTTGAGGACAAAAATGTATGGGTCTCTAAGGAGACAAAAGTGATATATAAATATATATATTCAGATACATGTTCCTTTGTGAAAGCAATACTGTACAGTTGGATAAATCCTATCAATAAAACTGATAGATTGCAAGATATAGCAATCTTTGTTTTCTAGAATATGATATAAATAATACACAAATGTTTAATGACGTGATGTCAAAATTGAGTCATGAGAAGTCTCAAGGATGCAGATTAAATTGACCATCTGTACAGCTTGCCATGAATTAAGTCATTCATCGTTTTTCATGAAGAACTGTTCAAGTATTAATGAGCCAGGGCTATAAAAGTTTTCCAAACCAATGGATGACAAATGCAAAGCATATTTTTTTAATATTTAGAAATAAGACAATTTTGAACCTATCTCCACTTCTGTGATGTCCTTAATTAGCCTTTGTTATTTTTGTTATTATTTTTAAATTCCAGAGAATGAGGGCATATACATACCTACACATGCTTTCTCTTTTATTAGAACATAAGCATATAATACACCTCATGACCCATAAGACATATGGAAAATGACTTCCTGTGATTAGTATCAGTATTTGAAATCAATTATAAAAAATTCAGCTACTTGATCGAAAGGGAAGCAATTATTAATGTCATTTATTTTTATAAATAAAATAAATGATGCAATGTAAATAAAAGTACTTCATTGATAGAATATTGCATAGGGAAATACATAAGGATGTGTATTTTGAAATAAAATTTTAAAATAAATTTCTCCAAATAAATGTATCTTGCATTCAGAAGAAAACAAAAACAAACAAAAAAACACCCAAAGGAATTCAATTTGTACATCCTCTAGGTGTCATACTTGACTAAGATTTAAGTTTGACAAAATTTATTTTAGGCTTCTTTCTATGCCCCCTTCCCTGCCACACCCATCAAATTATCAAAAGATAAAACATTTTATTTTTGATCTTTGTAGTAAGTAGACATAGATTTTACTTTTTTTTTCAACTCTGACTCTTCATCCTCTCTCTTCCTTCTAGTACCATTTTATTTATAAACACTTTACCATATCTGTTGGTTGGGCTGACTGGTTCGCAGATTTGTAACTTTGCATGGTGAGAGGAAGACAGATTCTAAATTTCATATCGATTTATAGAAAATTTATCTTGTGATTTCTCCATTTTATTAATAAGTAACCTATTAAACAATATCTACTGAGAGCAGTTGGACCCTTGTTTTGTCTATCAGGTAAAAACTGACAATATTTTGGTTCAGATCCAATAGAGCCTTTGGGTGGATCATACACTGTAGGCCTCACAGCAGCAAAACTGCTTATGGAATTCACCAGTGGTGACATGGGGAAATGTTTCCAGAGAGAACACTGTGGCCAAAGGCAATGATTCCGGCATTTGAGAAGTATAGAACATGTACAAGGACAATAAAACTGGCAAGTTATCATTAGTTGTGTTGATGTCTATAGAGTGATAATGTAAAAAGTCTTGGCCATTTGCAAATAATGAAAATGAAATATGAAGAGTGGAAGTTCTCTTTGGTATCTGAGAAAGAGACTCCTGTCTCCTGCAGTGATGGAGCAGAAAAACCTGAGGACCAAACTAAAAACTTAATATTAGATAACTTCAAAGATAACTGAATGATCAACCAAGGCAAGAGTATTAAGCTAAGATCAGAATCCCACTGGGAAAAACCAGGGACCTAATACATGGGACAAGTTCATTTGGGTTGATGTCCCAAAGGTTTGGCTCCCAGGATCCTCTAACTCTCAAAGCCTGCAGCAGTGGCTCATTCATCTCTATTAAAAGCTGGCACATTCCTGCCAGGCCAACCTCACAACCAATCCTGGTCTCCTCTTGTGGATTACAAATTGATGGTTAAGTTGCAGTATGAAGCTGCTTAGGACTTGCTGAGCCTGATAGGAGGGCAAAAAGACCAGATAGCAAAGGATCCCCAAGAATTGGCCAGGCCATATTGGTGAAGGCCAGAAGAGAATTCAGAGGGGCTAGGTTTTGCAATTATTTGATCAAAGAGACCAGAACATAAAACAAGATTATACATATGAAGTAATACCTCAGTGTGTGTGTGTGTGTGTGTGTGTGTGTGTGTGTGTGTGTGTGTGTTTCTTTTTCTGATGCTGTGGCTCACACCTAGAGCCACATACATGCTAGGCAAGCATTCTTCCACTGAGTTATCCCCCAAGTCCCTCATTGTGGCTTTCATGTGCATCTCCATCAACATGGTGAGGTCCAAGTACCTTTTCAAAGTCTGTTGACTATTTTATGTTGTATGTCCTTTTGAGAACAATTTCTATTCTATTCCTTTGTCTTTAACTGAGTTACTTGCTTTTATTTTTGCTATTATGTTTCTTATATATATAGTTGGATATTAATCCCTTATCAGATTTATAGAATTTCTTACCAAAAAATGTTGACTTTATAAGGTAAAGCCTATACCTATCTAAATTTAGTCATTCCACAAGACATATTTCTAAATGTGGTGTACACAATAAATACACAAAATTTTATCTGTCAGTTTACAAAAAAGTAAATAAAAAGCATTGGGTTCTATAAGCTTTAACAGAAAATATTTTCC